CCTGCCGGGGCACCGGGACCCTCCTCCCGCCCCCCACGGGCACCACGCCGCACAGGAGCCCATCTGATGCCACCAAGGCCACCAGAGGAGGGGGAGGTCTGTGCTCAATTATCGGTAATAATAATAACAATAACAATAATAATAATAACCAAAAGAAGAAAAAGAAGATAAAACGGGACGCAAGGAAGGATTATCTTCGGCAGCATCTTGCGGTGGCTTCTCTGGCGGAGATAGAGAATATATATCTATGTACAGGCAAGGCAGGGAGGGGGGCGGCGCTGGCACCAGTGACCCCACGTCCCCTCCCCTCCTGCGCCCTCAAGGGACGCGCTGTCAAGTCTGTAACTCGCTAGGTGATCAAGTCCCAGTCGAAATCATCAGGGATTTCCTCATTGGCACCTGGTGGGGGCCCCGGAGGCCGAGGGACCAGATGGTGAGCTGAGCCACAAACAGGGAAAAAGGAAAGAAAGGAATTAAAAAACGTTAGAATAAGAAAAGGTCACACTTCTTCACAGCGTGCCCCTGGGCAAAGGAGAGCATAAGGGATCTGGGCCCTCTCCCTTCAACTGCCTAACAAGCAAGAACATCACTGGCATGTTATGCTCCCTCAGACAACACCCACCAATGTATCTACAGGTGGCCTCCTGTGAAGCTCTCTACAGAAGCTTCTACAGAGGCAAAGTTTCAGCTTCTCTAACTTCCTTTAGAGCTGACTGCTGATAGAGCACAAAGGACTTCATCAACAGAAGCTTCTCCTGTAAAGTTGCCTTCAGGCAACCAACTGAGGGTGAGGCTGAGCCAGAAGATTCTGTGGAGTGAAGGAAATGAGGCCACTGAAATCCTAAACCCTGCCAGAGTTACAGCAGGGCCCTGAACAGAGGGCCACGTGCAGTCCAGGCTCCCTCTCTGCCCTCGCTGTGCCATTTGATCAGTAAGTGCTTTGGGAGAGCTGCACAAAGGGCTGGGGAACAGTTCAACCTCCACTGATGTCACACGTCATGTCACCCTCACCTGGGCGATTGTATCCTGGAGAGTCCTGGGTAGAAATCTGGTACATCGGGGATGGCCCAGAGAAGAGATGGGGAGGCTGGGGCTGACCATAGGAGTTGACTGTGAAAGGAAAGGAATAAAAAAAAAAAAAAAAAGAAAAAACCTCTTAATGTTCTGTTCAGCTGCCTTGGCCCTGACTGGGTGGCAACTCTGCCACAGAGCAACTCACTCAGACCCACGGGATACTGAGGAGATGTTCAGCTGTTGGGTCCTAACTGCAAGCTATAGCTTGGTCAGGGATCTTGTTCTTGGAACCAGCAGGAGTTTCTCTATTATTGTAAAAGAAGAAAATTTTCATCCAGAAACGCCAACAAGCTGGCTCAATATCATCCATTTAGTTCAGTACTAGATGACACACACCATCACATTTCTACCAGGACTATGATATTCTCTGTGCTCTGCTTCTCCTACCCCTTGTCCAGTTGGCATTTCTCCAACACGGCTGCAAGAGCTTTCTTCTTTATGCACCTGCAGCTCCTGCCAGCTGGAGCAGCACTCTCTCTACCCTGCCATTACTTTCTGCTGGTCACCTACAAAAAACACCCCCCCACTTCTCCTTTTCTGGTGTAGCCTTTGAAATGTACTTCTGGCTGGAGAGGCTGCGTGTCAGTGGTGTGCATCACAGCACAGCCTCACTCTCTGGAGCCAGGGGGACCCGAGCTGCTCCAACAGCTCTGGCAGCAGAGCCCTGAGCTGCTCGCTGCTGCCCTGCCTGGCAAGGCTCAAGCAGCTCAGGACAGTCACAGAACTGGGCCCCTCCCCACTGCAGGTGACAACCAGCCCTGCCCCTGCCCCTGCCGGGGACACGCCTGTCACCCTCCCTCCCAGCTACCTTGGTTCAGGGGCTGCTCCTGTTTGCCGCTGTTCAGGGCGCAGGAGTCAGAGATTCGGGAAGGCTGCTGTGGGCCCACCAGGTGAGGGAGCTGACCAGTCTGGGTGAGGAAGTGATTGAGGGAGTCACAGAGGTTGGCAATATGATGCTGATCCAGCGTCCAGTTCTTCCGCTCGGCCTGGCGCAGACTCTCCATCAGCTCTGCGGGTGACAAAGGACAATGTCAGAGGCTGTGGCCTTCCCTGCAAAGAGTTTTCATCTTCTACCCCTAAATCCTACCTGCTCCCCACAAACCCAACTTCACTGCATCAAACCTGTCACCAAGCTCCTGGAGATCTCCATATCCAGGATGCTGTCTCACTGACTCGGGTAGGGGAGGGAAGAAGAGTAGGAGGGAAAAATCTCAGTCAGCTTTCTGACATACTTTTATGAATTAATTCCCCCTGCTGCAAATTTCTGCAGCACTCAAGAGCTTCAGGACCTTTAACAGAACCCATGGAGTAGGACACCTCATTTACAAACAGAAGAGTTGAGTCATTGAGAAACCCACGGACTTCAGGTGGTGACACCGAAACAAAGGTCTGGGCACAGCACTCCCATATCGTAGCCACTGAGTGCCTAGGCCAACACTGACCTGAGAACTGGGAGTGCTCAATGCTGGACCAGTTCAGCCGGTTTACCATCTTGAAGCTTTCCTTCAGGGAGTCAATGTTGGAGCACCAGTCCGGGGGAAAGGCTGCAATGCAATGGGGACAGGATTATTCCGAGGCAGACCGCCCTTCCCCTCAGCCCTTCAGGGAAAATGATGGCCCCTCTTCACCACCAGCGTGATGCCACAGCAGCTAGAAAGCCTTCCTCCCCTGGAGACCAGGAGTGGTGCCTCCTCCTGCACTTGGCACCTGCCTCACCCTGCATCCCTGAACAGAACCCCGAACCCAGTGTCGGCGTGTCCCTTCCTTCGCTGAGGAAGCACTTTCCCTCTCAGACTGCACTCATAACTTGCTTTCAGCTCTTCTCCACACACAACGTGGGCACTACTTAAGGGCTGCTGGCTGGCAGAATTTCTGTCTGGGGCTCCTCACTGCTCCCTTCTCTCCAGATCTCTTCCCATACTCGGACTCACCGAAGCCAGCGCTGCTGATGGAGGCCTGCGACTGCTGCTGCTGCTGGTGCTGGTGCGGCGGCTGCGGGTGGGAGTGGGGGTGATGCTGCTGGTGCTGGTGGTAGCCCCCGTGCTGCATGGGGGGCGGGTGCATGGACATCACTGGGGGAGGCCCGTAGCCTTCTCCGCCCTGCTGCTTCCCCCCCTGGGATGGGCAACCCTCTGGGGTTGGAGTGTGGAGTGGGGGAGCAGCACCCACTGAGGAAGGGCCTTGCTGCTGCTGCTGGTACATGTAGTAGTTGTGGTTGGAGGGCTGCATGTCCCCAAGGAGAGAAGAGAAACCTGACGAGTAAAAGAAAGAGGAGAGAGCTCTAAGAGCTGACTGGATCAGACCTCTGCCTAAATGATCCATCTCTAATTTCAGACTGCCTGTCCTGCTGTTCTGAAGCTTTTGGGGTGTCCCACCACTGTCACCCGCACGGTCACGCCCTCGCCGGGCTCCACGTTCTCTTCAGAACTAAAGGCTCTGCAACAAAGCTCCACCAGGACATAAACCTCTAGTACAGAGTTCAGCACTTAACACTCCTCCCTGGCTTTTTCCCATATTTACTGAAGTCACTTGTGCTCTGCTGAACTGTCATGCACGTCACCAGAAATGACCATTACGCAAACTTAAATGACAAAACCTTTACAGAACAGTTAACTGGATCAATCTGAACTGCTGTTCCCAAAAGCTCCCTTCAGTTCCCACCTTAAAAGCAGCTTGGTCAGGAACCTTCACAGTTTTTCTCACAGAAATCATTACAAGTCACACATTCAACTGCTTTTGCACACAGAGCACTTTATATGCATCAGGGTTCCTTGGTAGCTCTTCATTCCCCCTGACTGACTGGGTGTGTCATTTCTATCCTCTTGTGTTTCAGGGATCCCCTCCATGCAAAGGCATCAGGTGTTCTCCACTCTTCCCCACAGCAGGAGCTCAGCACACCTCCTATGTCTGCTTCCCCAGTTCACTGTCCCCTTATGTTGTGGAGCTCTGGGAACAGTTGCAGGGAAGGGCAGGACATGCCACTAACCCAAGCTGCCCACGTAGTGCCCTGACTTGACCATCCTCCAGCAAGCATCAAGATTTGCACCAGATCCAAAATCAATGCTTAGATCATCCTACTACTGCACTGGGGCAAAATTATGAGTACTGCCACCCTGACTCAAACCCTGAAAAAAAAACCCAAAGAAACAAACAACAAAACAACAAAGAACAGAGATCCAAAATCAATGCTTAGATCATCCTACTACTGCAGTGGTGCAAAATTATGAGTACTGCCACCCTGACTCAAACCCTGAAAAAAAACCCCAAAGAAACAAACAACAAGGAACAGAGAGCTGCTAAGCTTTTAGAGAGGAGATACCAAGTCAAGGTTCCTCTCTACATTTCTGTAGCTTGCTCACTCACAAAGCCTCACACAACAGGCTCCTGCCAGGCACCTCCAACGCCAGCATGACCAAAGCAGTAAAATACTGCACTTCCATTTCACTGAAGCTCCAAGTTCACGTGGCTCCTCCTAGTGCAGCAACTTCATCTGCACTGTATGACGTTTGACAGCACACGTTGAGAGGCTGATCTAACAGTGCACTCCTTTTTACACCAGACTAATATTCCGAAGTGTGTAAAGGCAGGAACAACAACCGTAGATTTTTCTGAGGCGTTTTTGGTGGCTTCCCACCTCATCCCTACAACCATTCTGCCCTCTGGTGGCTGCTGCCTCGGGCCCAGAAATGCAAGGTATGAATGGAGTTGTGGGCTCCCTCTTCCACACTCAACCCACACAGCTCAGCTCTCTTGTACAATCCCGGTTTTAACAGACCTGAGCAGTGATGAGTTTTCACTCTCCTTCTGGAGAAACTCCACATGGAGCCATCCCCTCCCCCTTTGACAGACTGAATACTTCTCCAACACGCTTTTCTTCAGGACTTAAATTCTCTAAGCTTCTGCCATTTGCTTTTAGTATTTGCTTTTGTACCTACACCAAGTATTTTTAAATCATTATTCTCTTTATTCTGAGAACTAGGGGGAGCAATAGATATAGGACATGCAGATTTATCTGCTCCTGCTAGAACCAATTACAACATGCCAAAGGAGGGAAGTCTGTCTGTACAGGCTCCTAAATGAGGCAAGACCTGAGGGTTACCAAGGACAGAGCAGTGGACAATTCTGAGGGCAGACACCTGCCCACTGCCCCGCCACTCACCGTGCTGAGAGGAAGATGACTTCTCCAGCATGGATTTGTAGAGATTTCGGAAGGACCAGCTAAGATCCTGGAAGTTGATCTCAGAGTAGGAGAATTTGAAGTCATGGTTGGCACTGTACAGTGGGGTTGGCACATCAGCTCCTTCGCGGCCCTGCGCCCCTGCTGCAGTGGAGGCCACATCCACAGGCCCTGCACCCTGCTAAGGAAGGCAGAAGTGAGGCCTTTAGCTTGCACTAGGTTTTGTAACTTGACACAGGGATCCAGAGGCTAGATACAGGTAGAAATGCATGGACAGCCTGTATCACCTCATCTCCCAGCAAACCTTCCCCATGCTGTTTTCCTTGAGGAAAATCACCACCAGCCTTCCTCTGCAGTGTGCTGGCTCCAGCCTTTCCTTAGCCATCCAACACCATCATGCCTGTATCTTTATCCCCATCCAGCCCTTTGTTAAAATTCACTCCCCCTTACTTCTCTCTGCAACTTCAGCTTCCTCCCTTCTGTTTACCTTTGCCCCTGTATGACCATTTTCCTGACTCCCTCTCCACTCTGCTGTCCCATCCTCGTGCTCCTCCCGCTCTCTCTTCCCCCCTCCCACACCACAAGGCTTCCATCCTTTGCCCTGCTGCTCACCTGGCTGTAGTTGGCAATGGGGGTTGTGCTCTGGAGTGACAGCTGAGGGGTGGCCTCAGGTGGCAAAGAGGCTTCTGTGCTGACTGGAACAGCCCCTCGGGGGCTTTTGCTTGCCTCTTGCTCTGGGGAGTCTTGTGGTATCTGTGGATGGGGAATACAGAGAAAATGAAAGGAGCAGAAATCAAAATAAGATGGAGAAGTGAAACTGCAGATGATAAGCCAGCTCCCTGCTGTAGAAGTTGATGTCTTAGGCCCAGTCCCCCACTTCTCTAAGTCAGTGAGGAGTCAGGATAAAGTACTTTAAGCCAGGCTAACTTTGCTACTGAACAGCAGCAACGGCCCATCAGCAGGACACAGGAGTTGGTTCATTCAGTCCCAGCCCTTGTCTCCCCCTCTGTACCCCCTGCCCCCACAACAGTACTACAGTCTGGTGCTGGAAAACTTGGCCCACGAAGGGAATTCCCCCTCCTGCTCCATGCTGCCTGAGAGAACACCACTCACGTCATCGTCCGGAGGATGCCGCCTCTTGCGAGAGATATCTGGACACGTGTCTATTGTCCAATAAGAGCCCTGGAAAGAAGAGCCACTGGTGAATGCACGACTAAACCAGAGCTTCCTGCAGCAGGGAGTTACTGACTCAAAGCATGCAGCACCAACTAAACGTAAGGACCACCCTCCAGCACATCAGACAACCAGGACGTGGGGGTTTGCAAGGGGTCCCTCTCTTGCACTGGGGTGCATTCTGCAGTGAGCTGTGATGCCCCTGGTGAAGGCAGAATGCTCTGCATCCCCACCACTCCAAGGCAGGACACCAAGAGCAAAGAATGTTTAGATACAAGCCAGGCCAGCTCCTTTGGGCCTGCACATCCCCTCCAGCACCTTCCTCACCACATGGACTCGTTCCTGACCGATGAGAGCCAGCTCAGTGTCCAGCGTGGGCACGGGCAGCTCCGAGTGGCTCCTGCCCATGTCTGTGGGGCCCCACCCTGAGCACTGTGCCCAGCAGGAGACACTGATGTGCTACAGTGCACCCAAAGAGGAGCCACCATAACCACTAAGAACTAAAGCAGGTGATGTGTGTGCAGTTCACACAGAGATCTGTTTAGCCTGGACAAGAGAGGCTGAGGGGATCTAACCACTGTCTTCAGCTGTGTAAGGAGATGACAAAGAAGACAGAATCAAACTCTTCTCAAAAACAAACAGCACAAGAGGCAAAAAACCCACAAACACAAACTATAGCAAGGGAAATTACAAAGACAGAATCAAACTCTTCTCAAAAACAAACAGCACAAGAATAAGAGGCAAAAACCCCACAAACTATAGCAAGGGAAATTACAATCAGGTATAAAAACAATTCTTCACAATGATGGTGGTGCAGCACTGGGACAAGCACCCAGTGGTGGTATCTCCATCCCTTCAGACACTCAAAACTCAAGGAAGAGCTCCAGTTGTCCCTGCCTGGGAGTGGGATGAGGGTGTGTGCTGACTTCCAGAGGTCCCTTTCGACACAGATAGTCTATAATTATGTCTGTTGTTTTCTGAATAAGTATAGAGAGAACTCTGGAGGATGATTTAGCTCATTTTAACCTCCAACTGAAATCTCAATCAGTGACATCACAGGACAGGTTTTCATTATAAGCCCAGCCCAACATGCCACTGAACACCTGCAAACATCCACTTAAGTCAGTTAGGATTTCCTGGAATAAGCCACACAATCGATGGTATTTTTGAGCTGTGATCTTCAAAGACACACTACTTCCATTTATAGATGCCAACTGAGACCCACTTAGTCCTTTAAATATAACCTGAAATAAAAGGCCTGAGCAAGTGGCCCATTCTGGTAACTGTAGAATGGGAGTGAGGGGACAATCCTTCTGCCTAAATAAATAGCTCCTTGTCCCTGCCATCTCCTTCTGCTTGCTTGTTCAGGGATTTTATTTTTTAACAGTAATAATGCCTGCATGCCAAAACACCAAGTCTTGCTTTTGCTAGCAATTCTCCTTTACAATCTATACACACTAACAAAGCTTTAGTAGCCCTTACTTAGCCAACAAATTCCTAAATTATTGAGTTTTACTTGAAAATGACTTCTACAGAATTGAACTGTCTGATGGTGATTTTTTCCCCCCAACACCAAATGTTGTGCAGTCTAAATAGGAGTAGTTCTGCTCTCAGTCCCATGGGTCTTGACTCCATGAAACCCACGGTGTCACATCAGAGTCCTGCCATTCACCAGCACCCACTATGGTCTTCCAGAACAGAACAGGCTCCACTAGCCCCACCTGCTACAAAGACCAAGAAGAAAAAGAAGCAAAACTAATAAAATACATCCAACCCCATTTTTAACTTCTTCCAGTATCTTTAAAATCAACTGAAGATCACAGATAAGAAAAATAACTGCTCAAACCCTTGAGGTCCCTTTACAGGTTCCCTTTAAGTGAACGCTTCTGTAGCCAAAGTGCTGCAGTAAATCTTACTACTGCTTCCATTTTTGCCTACACTTTAGGTTTCAAATTCCAACCATAAGTGAGAAAGGGCAACCCCAGCTTCTTCCCTGCAGTTGTGAACTGCCTGCCCAGGAGCATGCACATTTCTTACCTTCCCAGGGTCATCCCTCGGCCGAGGCACCTTCCGAAAACACTTATTCAGGGAGAGGTTATGGCGAATAGAGTTCTGAGGAGAGAGCAAGAGATCCAGAGATAAGGGATGTACTGCCACAAGATCACACAGCCTCCTGAGTATGCCCAGGAGGGGGCAGAGAAAACAGAAGGGTGGTGCAGACCCAAAGCCAAAGCTCGCTACCCGTGCCCAGAACAGAGCAGAAGAGAAGCTATGGGAAGGAGACAAACGGATGAGGATGAGTAATATGGGGCTAAGCCATCTCTACACCTACAGAAGGTGCAGTGGAAACAGTGTCTGTGAGGCAGAGGCTGGCACTGATGTGGGGTTTGTGGGCTATGTCTTGTTTTTCTTGGTGGTGGTGGTGGGTTTTGTGCACGCTCCTTCTTAAGGGGTCACCACATACACACAACAAAATTCCCTGAGGAAATGGGACCTCTAGCTCTGCATCTTCTCCAGCTGGTCACCTGAGTTTCACAGCTGTCTTTTTATTTTGCTCAGTGAGGGGATTTTGCACAGAACTAAGAAAATACACCTTATAATCAGAGAAAAGGGGTGCTCCAGCAATGCAGGACTCACCTTCCAACCAATCCCGGCGTTTTTGTAGTAGGGGAAGTTGTCGCAGATCCAGCGGTAGATCTCACTCAGTGTCATCTTCTTGGCAGGAGAGGAGTTGATGGCATAGGTGATCAGAGTGGCATAGCTGTACCGTGGCTTCCCATCCTGGTGCACTGCAGCCTCGTCCTTACTCAGGGTGGCATTGGGGTCTGTCGGGGAGCCGGGGGGACACTTCCGGGCAGCCCCCGGGGGTCCTGCTTGGGAGGAACCCCCTAACTTTTCTATAGTAGCCCTTAGAGTAAGCTGTGGGAGCCAGTCTATGGAAGTGAGGCTGCTTTCCAGGTCAGAGGCCATGGTGCTGGAAGGAGTATCTGTGAAGAGGAAGGAGCAGAAAGAGAACTCCTGAGATAGAAACAAGGTGAACCCTAAGAACAGAAACATCCACCTGCATTCCTCCTCTGCTTCTCCCTGCCACAAATGCTGTGTGGAGATCATCCTGCTCAATATACCTTATTCACAGCCAGGCAGAATCATCCAGAAAGGTGTCTCTGGGAGGACTACCCTGCTATCAGCATTGCTAGGACACTCTTAGCCAGAGCAGCCCACTGTTCCCAAGTAAAGAACCAAGATGTACCCAAAGAAAGTGGAGTCTCTTCAGCAGCTGCATCACATTCACTCCTTCTCTACATCAGCAATATAACCTTGAGATCCTTCACCAAGGTTACCTGTAATTCAGCAGGCCTGCTTGTCAGGTGAGAGGCAGATCACAGCTAAAGGGGATAGTCCTTCACGCTAAATACCAAACACAATTCCATGAAATCATCTAGAATGTCAGAACTGTGGCTACCTTAATGTGGGAGAGGCTCATTTCTCTGAGGCCTAACCTTTCTTTCTGCCCCAGGTGACACTGTCAGGAAGCCTGCTCCACAGGGCTGGGGTTACACAGCTCAGTGACAGCACCAAGATCACAGAATCATAGATTGGGTTGGGTTGGAAGGGACCTTAAAGATCATGTAGCTCCAACCCCTCCAGGATGGGCAGGGACACCTCCCACTAGAGCAGGTTGTGCAAGGCCCCATCTAACCTGGGCTTGGACACCTCCAGTGATGGAGCAACAACGTCCCTGGGCAACCTGTTCAGTGTCTCACCACCCTCACAGTGAAGAACTTCTCCCTCACATCTAATCTAAGTCTACCCTCTTCCAGTTTGAAGCCACCACCCCATATCCTATCACAGAATAGAATCACAGAACGTCTGGGTTGGAAGAGACTCCTAGAGGTCATCTAGTCCAGCCCCCCCTGCAGTAAGCAGGGACATCTTTAACTAGATTAGGTTGCTCAGAGGGCCATCAAGCCTGACCTTGGATGTCTCCAGGGACGGGGCCTCCACCACCTCTCTGGGCAGCCTGTGCCAGGGCTTCACCACCTCCAAGGTAAAGAACTTCTTCCTCATGTCTGATCTAAATTTGCCCTGCTCGCATTTAGAGCCACTGCCCCTCGTCCTGTCACCACAAGCTCTTGTAAAACATCCCTCCCCAGCTTTCTTGTAGGCCCCCTTCAGATACCTGAAGCCCTCCTCTCCTCCAGGCTGAACACCCCAACTCCTCAGCCTGTCCTCACAGCAGAGCTGCTCCAGCCCTGCAGCATTTCTGTGTCTCCTCTGGACTCAATCCAACAGCTCCACGTCCTTCTGGTGCTGGGGGCTCAGAGCTGGACACAGACTCCAGGGGAGGTCTCACAGGGCAGAGCAGAGGGGCAGGATCCCCTCTCTCCATCTGCTGCCCACGCTGCTTTGATGCAGCCCAGTACACGACTGGCCTTCTGGGCTGTGGGCACACACTGCTGGCTCACGCCCAGGTTTTTACCACAGCTACCCCAAAGTGGTATGTTGGCCTCACCACTCAGCTTGGGGACATCTGCAAACTTGCTCAGGGTGCTCTCGAGCCCACTGTCTGTATCACTGATGAAGACACTAACCAGTACTGGTCCCAGCAGGAGCCCCTGAGGGGAACAACTTGTCACCCATCTCCATCTGGACATCGAGCCCCTGATCACTGATCATCTGGATGTGACCATCCAACCAATTCCTTATCCACCCAACAGTCCATCCATCAAATCCATATCTTTCCTACTTGGGGGACCAAGTCAAAGGCCTTGCAGAAGTCCAGATAAATGTAGCCATTGCTGGTCCCTTGCTCACTGATGCAGTCACCCCCCTGCAGAAAGCCCCTAGGCTGGCCAGGCAGGGCTTGCCCTTAGCAAAGCCATGCTGGCTATCTCAGATCACCCCTGTGCTCCTTGTCCCTTAGCACAGCTTCTAGGAGGACCTGTTCTGTGATCTTTTCAGGCACAGAGGTGAGGCTGACAGGTCAGGAGTTCCTGGGGTCCTCCTTTCTACCCTTATTAAAAATGGGTGCAATGTTTCCCTTCTCCCAGGCATCAGGGACTTCAGCTGGCTGTCAGGACTTTCCAAGTACCACAGAGAGTGGCTTGGCACCTACATCAGCTGATTCCCTCAGGACCCTGGGATACAGCTCGGCAGGTCCCACAGACTGATGCATGTTCAGCTTCCTCAGGTGGTCAGGAACTTTCTCTTCACTCACAGTGGGAGGGACTTTGTGCCCCAGGGCCCCATGGTGTGGTCCTTCAGCTTGGGAGGTGTGAGGAGAGAGGCTGCCAGTGAAGACCAAGGCAGAAAAGTTTTTGAGAACCTCAGCTGTCCCCTCCTCTGTTGTTGCTAGCCCATTCTTGCTCAGCACTGAGGGGACACTTTCTTTAACCCTCCTTTTCTGCTTGACATACCTGTAGAAGCCTTTCTGGTTATTCTTTGCATCCCTTGCCCAGTTCAGCCATGCCTTGGCCCCCCTGACTTCACCCCTACACAACTGGGCAGTGTCCCTCTACCCATCCCAGGATCCCTGTCCCTGCTGCCACTGCCTGTGCAGTTCCTTCTTGCCTTTCAGCCTGGCCAGCAGGTCTCAGCTCAGCCCTCCTGGGCTCTTCCCTTCCTTGCTCAATTCCTTGCACCCGGGGATCGGGAGCTCTTGTGCTCCATGGAAACCCTCCCTAAAGCTCTGCCAGCTCTGTCCTGCTCCCTTGTCCCTGAGGACTGCTTCCCAGAGGCTCCTACTGGCTAACTCCTTGAAGAGCTGGAATTTGCTTTCCTGAAATTCATGGTCTTGACTATGCTCCTTGTCTGAGCCATATCCCTCAGGCCTGAACTCCAGCAGTGTGTGGCCACTGCAGCCCAGGCTGCCTCCAGGCTTGACAGCCCTGATGAACTGGCTTGCTCTGGTGGCTATCAGGTCCAGTAGTCATCCCCTCTGGTAGGGCTATTTCCTGGCTTAAGAAGTTACCACTGAGGCGCTCCAGGAGGCTCCTGGGTGTCCTACAGCTCGCCACGTTACTTCTCCAGCAGATGCCAGGGTGGCTGAAGCCCCCAGCAGGACAGGAGCCTGTCAGCACAATGCCTGCTGTGGCCAGAGCTACAGCCCTCATCAGTGGGCTCCCCTGACCGGGTGGCCTGCAGCAGACACCAGCCACAGGGCTCCCTGTGGAACCAGAAACAACCTTGTCACTTCGGTCTCCAATTCCTGCCCATAAGCTCCCAACTTGCTCTTGGCTGTTCTTCAGGAACATCCATTCACACCATCCATTTCTTAACACAGAGGGCAACACCTCTGCCCCTACTTCACCTGTCCCTTCTGAACAGCCTGTGGCCATCGACAGCCACTCCAGTTGCTGTTCACCCCACCAGGTTTCAGTCATGGCCACTGTTGTACTCTCCAGTACAGTGGAGAGGCACCTCAGCTGGGCTGTCAGCTGTGCCACCTTTTAGAGGAATACCTTTTAATTCCCTTGAGGTGTTTCATGGGTGCTTCCCTGTTGCCACCTGCTATCTCTGGAGTCCCTGGCTCGACTCCACAAGACCTTGACCGTGCTACAGTGTCCTCAGCATACCTCAGAGCAACACGTTTAAGGCCCTTACTAGCACCCTGTCCCTCCATGCCTGGTGTGGCATCCAAGGTGCCAGTTCTGCTGGCCTCTGCCCCCCCTTACTTCTCTAAGAATAGAGAACTCAGTCATTTTGTGATCACTGTGCCCTAAACAGCCTCCAGCCCTCATGTCACCCCTGCTGCTCCATGGATCACCAACCCCCAGCCCCACAGGGGCTGCAGAAGGAGGGTACTCACCAGCACAGCACCCCACAGCCCCTGGCACGCTCCCCTGGGCTAATCTCCAGCAGGCCCAGCTTCATCCCCTTCCCCCTTCCAACCCAGTTTGAAGCTCTTTTGATGAGCCCTGCTAGCCCTTGCCCCAGGACCCTTCTCCCCCTCCCAGACAGGTGTATCCCAGTGTCTGCTGCCAGCAGAGCTGGGGCTGTGTGCACCAAGCCACGACTGACAGACCAGAGCCCTGCCTGTGACACCAGCCTGTGCCTCCCCACAGGACCAGCTCTGCTCTGTGGTCTAGGGCAGCTCAGCTGTATGATACTTCTGGCCTGCACCACTCTGCCAGGGGCAATCCCTTGGTGTCTGCCCTGAGGCAGCCAAGTCTCCATGGTCACCACCTGCATGGCCCTGCACTTATTGCCTGCACAAAAACAAAAATCATGTCTTGAGTTCTGCTTATTCCATTTTTGGAATTATTGTTTACAGAGGATTAGATTATGCTATCTTTGTGCATGCTCATGCACACAGAAGGTAAAGGTACAACCACACACACACACACTTATGCACACACTGATGCAATGAATCAAACTTAGGGATACGTGTAGGAGAGGACACACCAACACCAACACTCTGCTGGGGACAGATTCAGCAGCAGGCACTGCACACCAACTGCATCACTCCTGTGAATGGCTCTGATGAGACAGGGAGACACCCATCTGCACGAATACCAATTAGAGACTCATTCTAAAAATAGGTATTTGACAATTCCACACTGTGGATGCACACGTCCAGAGGCAGCACCTGGAGCCAGAAGCTCCCTGTTCTTCACCATGGCCCTATGTCCCTGTTCTTCACCATGACCCTATGTCCCTGTTCTTCACCATGACCCTGTGTGTACACCTTGCACTTCTGCACTGGAGCACTCAGCACCAAAGCCCTGAAGAGCCTCATGCTCCAGCACAGGGGTGTGCACTAGACCTTTCATCCTCCTGCTTGTGCTCACCACTCCTTGGGCTCAAACACCTACACAACACCCCAAGAGAACCCCCCTGGCCCCCGTGGGCAGCACCTCCAGAGCCCTGGCCCGAGGGCACCGGCTGCCCTCAGCACTCGCCCAGCCTGAGCCAGCCCTGGAGCTGCAGTGCCTGTGGAGGAGAGGAGCCCCACTGCTGCCAGCTCACCC